CAGCAGGAGACATGCCAAGTCTGAGCCACAAAAGTGATACCTATGGTCATTACCTGTGACACCTGTCATTAAATTAAACACTTTCACCAATTCTTTAAATGCACTTTTTTCAGAAACAGGGTGAAGTTCACTAACATATGTTTCACATTGGCTTAACACACATGAGCTGAGAATATGCTAATGGGTATATTCTGCAAGAGAAGAAGTCTGCCATACCTCTTCCACACTGACAAAATACTCACCAGTTTTTCTAGGTAGTATAATATTTTCAACATTAAAGTGACAACCAATCTCTAGGAATTACTGACAGAATCTACATACAGAGCAAGATGAAGAAAAGGATGAAATGTTTGGCTAAGTCTTCCCAATTTATGATTATAAAAGTAATGACAAAGGCTATCTGTAATCTTCCTCAAGAGGCATTAATATTTCATGTATTTTTCCATTTGCAGCAACATGCTTTTTTTCTCTTCTTTAAGGCAGAGGAGTACCCAAACAAAAGACAACTTTAAGAGTCCTCCTCTTGGAATAACTAAATGTCACCCTCAAGAAAGTGACTACCATTACTGAAGGAAAAAAAAAAAAAACCTACAAATCAATAAAAAGGAGCTTTCCAATAACCATGGAACCTACTCAGAGTTCTAGCAAGAGTTTTTCCTTGAATATCAAGTTGAGAAGACAGTCCTTCCTTGTGAGCACAGAACCACTTATAGACTTTCAGAAGTAAACAATACAGAGTGGACATAAAAAGTCAAACTCTGCAAGCATATCTCTTAACAGTGAGGGTGACAGAGCACTGGAACAGGCTGCCCAGAGAGGTTGTGGAGTCTCCTTCTCTGGAGATCTTCAAAACCCGCTTGGATGCAGTCCTGTGCCACGTGCTCTAGGTGACCCTGCGTGTGCAGGGGGGTTGGACTAGATGATCTCTAGAGGTCCCTTCCAACCTGAAGGATTGTATGATTCTATGATATTTCTCTCACTCACTCTCTTTCTGTGAGTGTCTGTGCACTCTCAGAAGAGTACTATGCAATGTATTCCTTAACTGCTTCAATGACAAATCATTTCACTGATTTTAAAAACAGAATTACTTTGAAGAATATGTTCAAAAAATGTTTCTGTTATTTATGTTACTTGATGTCTCTCAAAACCAAAAAGATACTTAAGGAAGCCTACAAAGAAGAAATTGTTGCAGCTAAAGTTCACAAATAGTTAAGCATTTTTTTTGCTTGGAATGAAATAAAAGACAAAATTCAGCAAAGCCACGCTGGAATTCCATTTAACAGAAATACACTAGCCTGTTTGCTACCTGCAGAGGGGGCTTACGAGTCATTAGCGACAACAGTAATAAGACCCAAACTTACTTCTACTAAAGGTACATTATTTGGAAGAACAGCAATGTCACTGGCAACTCTCCGTGAAAAAAAAAATTCTTCTGCACTAATTACTTGTTCTAACCAACAGGTGCCAATTAATTCTTGCAAATGTTAATTTCAAACAATCAATCACTAACTGAGCAATTTTTTGTGACTCTGTACAATACTTTAACACTAGGTAGTGAGATAGCATAAAGCAAGGTAAAAAACTCTACTTTCTGTAACTAGTACTGTTGTCCTATCTCAGCACTTACGTCAGGAAGGTTCCTCGTACATTGACATCCATCATAAGATTGGCCTTCTTTGTTTCTGTTTCCAAAGTGCCAGACAAAGAAATGGCGCTTGCATTGTTCACCAGAATATCAATGCCTGTTTAAAAAAAAAAAAAAGTCTCACACCATAATTTTAAGATACAAAGCACAAGTAAGTTTATTATTGTTATTCCAAAATTTGAAAAATTTGCCTGCTAACAAGTACCTTCTCCCCACACTTTGACATACCTCCAAAAGTCTTCACAGCCGTCTCCACAGCCTTAATAATTTGATCTTCTTCTCTCACATTAACAACACATGGCATTGCCTTTCCTCCAGCTTCTTCAACTGCACAGTTAGAACACAAGGCTCTTAAAAATTAGCTCTCAAACTGAACAAAAAAGCAGGAGACTACTAAGAATCTCTCATCCAATTATATGTTTCAAGAAGATAGCAAAAATCACACTCTCAAACTGTGGACCTTGTTTATTAAAGACTCAGCTTGCTTCCTTTTTACATGTTTCTTAAAGCACAGAAAACCATATTCTAACACCAAGAATGGGCATGGTACACATATACATCTTCATTAACATAATGTTCTCGCAGTTATGCATGCATACTTTCCTTAAGGTAATATTTTGATACACCACAGCATTCTTGGGCTGCAAAGGCAGCATTCGGCTTACTTTATTAAAGGTAAATTGGTGCTCAGAGACTCTAAACAAGTTTCCACAAAACTAGGAAAATTATGCTAGGACACAGACCTGACCCAGCATGTGAAGTCCAACCTTATTTACTGCAACTTACTCTCTTTTGCAGCAGAGTAGATGGTTCCCTGCAGGGTGCGATGGGGTTCAGCGGTCTTGGCAGCTATGACAATGTTGGCACCGTCCTTGGCAGCCTTCAGGGCAATGGCTTTGCCAATGCCCCGGCTCGCACCCGTGATGAAGAGTGTGCATCCTGCCAACTTCCTACAAGTGTGGGCGAGTAAAGAAAAGGGAGAACAAAATAAACCCCCATAAAACATTGATCGTCAGTGCTCTTTACAGACAAAAATAGCGGGTGCAATCTTCTAACCAGTTCATCATCTTCATGATTTTACAAAGAAAATGGCTCAAAAATACAAAATTAAGGGATCAATATAGAGTGCAGAACAGTCTTACATCATCACAAAGGGGCCTCCTAAGTTTGCAAGCTCTATAGATCAGGATGATTATAAAAGCTGTCCAACAACATTTCGCCCCTTTTCAGGAAAAAAGTGCAACACATGGTTTACAGATGACTTGTCAAATTCTAAAACAATGAAAAAGGACAATGGTTTATGAAAATAAAGTGCCAAGTCTAATACATCTACATAACACTCTATAATTTACATGTTTCAGCATCCTGAACATGAAAAAACAATGCCTTAATGTGATACAAAGTTCAAGTCAAAGCCAGTGCACTATGCCAAACACAATGGTCAAAAACACATTAGCTTGATTTTCAGAAATAACAACTATTTTAAAATATATATATATGTATATTTTTATGATATGCTTGGTATTTTCCCAGTAACTAATGAACAAACAAAAAGTCTAGTTTAAAGCATATAGGACAGTAAAACCTCTTATATGAACAAATACCTCACAACCGAGATGTGCATTTCAGTGTTCTGCATAGAATTTATGTTACTTTCCATAGTTTAATTTTAAAAAGTGCAAGGTTTGAAACCTTACTAAAGTATAACACTACAGTTTTTCAACTTTCACTCACATCACAAACACTCTATTTAGGACTTCAGACTTGCTTTATTATTCCTTTACAAGTACAGACTTTACTTACTCTTCTTTTTCCGGGTTTTTCAGCAAACTGAGAGCATCTTTCTCCCTAACAGGGCCAAGGAATATAAGCATTTGCTTGCAAAAGACAGTACAAAGATGCAAGGGTGTCTGCCCCAGCACAGGTATTCTCAGGCATCAGAGGAGTCCTGGGAAGTTAAAGAAGCCCTGCAAGTGCCGATGCAAACAGCACTCTCCTGTAGAGCTGGATCTTACACAGACAGGAAGAAGGAAAAAAAATCTGAAAACACTGTGAATTACCAAAAAACTACTGCCAGACTGAACATGCTGATCAACGTGGTCAGAACTTCAAATTAGAAATGATAGGGGAGGACGTTACACCAGTCAGGTGAGGAAGCAGTAAATCAGCACAGAAAGGAATGTTAACACAGAGCAGATGGGGGCCAAGTTCAAATATTGAACAAACACACATGGCTCAGGAGACAAGCAGGACTTACTACAGGTCTGTTTGCAGCAAAAGAATTACAACATAATTGGCATGACATAGCAAGGCAGCTCACACGCCAATGGAGGTGTGTTGGATGGATGGATGGATGGATACTCTTCAGAATGCTCCTCATAAGATGTAGAAAGCGAAGATGTGGCAGTTCTCCTCACTAGCTGAGAGCACAGTTCAGACACATGTAAATGCTGAATGAGAAGGATGAGACTCCAGGTGAGAGCCTGTGGTTCAGGATCACACAAGGGGCCGGAAAGAGGGATCAGGGTGAGGCATGGGAGGGCATGGTGAGACTGTCTTTTAAACAACTAGATGATGATCTTCAAAGATCATCAGAGATGCTGATTCTCATGAGGGACTTCAGTCTCTTTGACACTTACTAGAAGAATGCTGCAGCAGGATGCAAACAGTCTAGAAGATTTCAGGACTGTGCTGGGAAGAACTTTTGCACAAAGGTACTAAATGGGCCAAGTTCATGTGACACACAGCTGGATGCTACTCACCAGGAAAATTTGGCTGGGGAAGAAGTAATTTGTGTCAGTCTTAGTTTGTAATAACCATGAAAGGGCTCAAGATCCTGTGGGGACTCAAGAAGGACAGCAGTAGAGCACAGACCCTGGACATGAGGCAGGCAGGCTCCACCTTCTCAGGAAACTGGAAAATTAGATCCTAACGTATTTATCTCTGAAGGGCAAAAGATTCCTGGAAGGCCGGCTGGGCTACAAGCCCCCCACTCCAATCACTAGAACAGCCAACGGGAAGACAAGCAGATGCATCAGGAGACCGGCACGACTAAGCTTCTGCTTATATGAAGCACTCATGCCGAAAAATAACACATATGGGGCAAAAGCAAGGGCAGGCTAACAAGGAGATCTTGGAAACATTGCCTACATTTTTGGGGGTATTATCAGAAAAGCCAAAGTTCAGCTGCAGCTTGCAAGGACAAAGGTAACATGAGCTCCTAACGCTATACTGATAGTAAAAGACTTCACTAGGAAAAATCAGGGCTGTTGCTGAATGGCACGAACAATTTAGTGATAGTGGACACAGGTAGGGTTGAGGTGCTCAATGTCTTCTTTGCCTCAGTCTCCACCAACAAGTCTCCCGGGCCTCTGTGCTTAAGAACAGGGGTCATGGGGAAGGAGAACAACTAGCAGCAGACGACAAGCAAGTCAGGAGTAGTTTGAAAGGACTAGATTTGTACACACCCACCGAACCAGACAGGCTCTAACAAGTGTGCTAAGAGCTGGCTTGTGTTCCTGCAGGCTTTGGAAAGTCAGGGAGATCTCTGACAACTAGAGGAAAACAAATGTTGAGCTCATCTTCAAAAAAGCCCCAAAACACAACTCAGGGAACAGCTGCCTTGACAGCCTCACTTTGGCCCCTGGAAAAATCACGGATCAGGTCCCCATGGAGCTGATTTAACAAGGTGACTAGAAACCGTCAGCATGCATATATCATATATAAATCATACTTGACCCACCTGACTGTATTCTGAGACAAAATGAAAGGTTTTGTGGTCAAGGGGTAGAAGTAATATATTTTTACAAGGCTTTCAACACCATTTCTCACAATATTTTTGTATCCAAGCTAGGATACTATGATCTGGATTGATCGATGGTTAAAAAAAAAACAGCGAGATTGTTGAACTCAGAGCATGATGGCTACTGAGTCATATTCTGCCTGGCGGCTAGTAACAGTGGGTTATGTTGTCCTGCTCAACATCTTATCAGTCACCTAGACAAGGTAAAAGGCACCGTCAGAGTGAAATGATCAATACGTTTGACGACGTATTGACGAGGCCCTCAGCAGGCTAGAGGAATGTTGACAAGAACCCCCTGAAAATCAAGGACAAATATACCGCCCTGCACCCAGAAAGCCTGTGCAATGTTAGGGATTGAGGAGCGAGCAACCAGGAAGCCAAAGAATCCTGGGGAGCCTGGCAGGCACCACGCTGAGCATGAGCCAGCACTGAGCTCTGGCAGCAGAGCCAACAAGCTGCAGCACCATGGGCTGTGGAACAGCTTGGCCAGGAGGTCAAGTGAAGGGATTATCCCCCTCCACTCTGCATCTGCTGAACTCTCACCTGGATATTACCTGCAACTCTGGGCTCAACAATAAAGGTTGAAAATGACAAACAAGAGCAAGTTCAGCAGTTGGAGATGGACAGTGGCTGGAACACTTGTCATGTAAGGAAAAGTGGAGAGACCTGGAGAAAACACAGCTTTGGAAGGATCCAACATAACCTCCCCACAGCTCAGAGGAGGTGGCTGAAGAAACCGAGCCAGGTTCTGTGAAACAGTGCGTGGTAAAAGGATGACTGACAGTTGGCTCCTTCAGAATGAAGGATGACAGGTTCCAACTGGCGAGGCTTAGACAGCCTGCACTCCAAGGGCAATCAAACAGTGGAACAGGCATCCAGAGAGGTTGTGCCACCTCTACCTTTGGGGGATTTCAAGTCCTGACTGGAAAAAGCCATGAGCAACTTTGACCAACGTTACAGCTGACTCTGCTTTGAGAATAAGATTGGACCACAGACCTTGCAAGACACCAGGAATATTTTGGGTGGCCATGGCCCTTGCTTGCAGCCCTTCTGTTCAATTCCTCTCCACACCAGCCTTCCCTCTGAATGCACCTGCCTCTTCTCCCCATGCTCACAGATCACCACTGGCAACATTCGCTCACTGGAAGTCCTTTCCTCAAATTATCACTCCATTATCCCCAGTTCTGCTCCACTAGCCCCTAAAAGTAGCATTCACCAAAATAAGTGAAGATGTACCATCAGGAGAAGTTCTCTTTCACTGCATTCTCTCTGAGATGTAGAGCTGACTTGATGCTCCCTCTCACGTTCCTGCTTATTTTTAAAGAATACCTGCCTCCCGCTCAGTTTTATTTCTAACCACCTCTCACTGAAGTCCTGTTTATCCTATTTATCCTCTTCAACTTGGCATGACAGAATCTGCAAAGCCAGGTGCACCAATCTTTTCCAATGTTTATCGAGTCACCAAAGGAACAAGGCCTTGCACGAAATTTAATGAATTTAGATTTAGGATTTGCTTCCTAATGCACTTGGCAGTCCACCAGTTGAGAGGACTTCAAAGCAGGTTTGAGCCAAAACGCCCACGTGAGCCGCACTGTGAAGGCCGCATCTTGCGTGCTGAATTCCAGCAACAAGGCATAAAGCGTCAAACTCGCCCCTACACTCTGCAGGGATCTGAAAGAAACTAGAGACGAGGCCCCTTCCCACAGGGCAAACCTGCTTCTGCAGAAACCTGCCGGGAAGCAGGAATTCACCCAACGCCCTTGTTCGCAGGTTACCGGGATAACCAACGCCAGCTTGCACTCCTGGCTGCTAAAACTGAGTTACCTCCACATCACTTAAGTTGCCCCTAAATTGGGCTTGTTTTCAATACAGCCCGGCGCCGCGCGCTCCACACGGTACATCCCGACTCCCGCTCCTCGGTGCGGCGAGCGCAGGCACCGCCGGGCCGCGCTGCCCGCCCCGCCTGCGCACTCGCGCCCTCGCCCGCCTCCAGCCCCGCCCGGCGCGGTGCCGGTGCCGGTATCGGTGCCGGTATAGGTGC